TGAGTGACCGGATAAGTAGCTGGACAAGGACTTTTATAGAGGTCATCTAGAGGGAGAGACTGTCTCAGGTTTGGGTGTGAAGGAGTTCTTCGTGGAAAAGAGTATATTTGAAAAAAGATGATCAGAGAGGATACTCTCAGCATGGAAACTATGAAAAGCTATACCAAAGTGGCAAATTGACAGCATGTTCTGGGGATGGCAAGTATGCAGGTTTGGCCCAAGAGAAAGACTACAGGATATAAAAATAAACAAAATGGGATAGAGCCTGAATGTAAGGGTTAATCCATTACAGAGATTTCACAGAGGCTTTGAAATTAATTCAATAAAGGATCAATAAATCCATGAGCCTGATGGGTAGTCCTGATTCTGGCACAGATGAGTTGTGTGATATTGAACAAACGATTTAGCCTCTGGAGGCCTCAACTTTTAGATCTGTACATTAAGAAAGCAAGAATAGAAAAGTAGTTCTCAACATGTGGGTGTGGGAATGTTTGGAAAATTATGAAGGATCAGCTATGACTCCCACAAAGATTTGAGACAGGAGGGTGACACTGGCATCTAATGGACCTGGCTGGGGTGATTGATGTCCTGTTATGTCCCAAACAGTCTCACCTAAAATGTCCACACAGATTTCAAATGTTCCCCAGTTGCATGGGGAAAAATATCATGGCCATGACTGCTTTCATGCAAGACCAGAGTGAGAATGGGAAAGAAAGAAAATGCATATTGTGACATTTCAAGTGCCATTTTAAATTGATTATTATCTGAGCCTAGAAGCCAATTCTGTTTTGCATAAAAATATACAGTATCTTAATCAAATTTTAATATAATTGCTTTTCCTGGAAATGTAAAGCTTCTAGTGGTGTTTGAGTTGCCAATAAAATACACCTACATCACTACCTTTCACATAGTCACATTCATGGTCAGCCCAAGTATTCATAATATGATCATTTAGCCCATATTTCAAAACATCAATATAGAGGAAAGTATTGACAATATGCATTTGAATATTGTCTTCATTTAAATCCAGACTTATTTATTGTAAGTGTAAGCCTCAGACTATTTCATGTTATCTTCTAGTGTAGTTGTACCTAAGTTGTCACATTTAGAAAGGCATGTTATTTTATTATGAATTAATTTTTCTTTTATTTCTCCTTCCTATTATAGTTAAGGATTTTTTAAAGGTTTTTTAAAGATGTGTGCAGGTGGAAAAATGATCTATGAATTTTATTTTACATAGTAAAGAGGATGGTACAAAATATTTACAATTAAAATAAGTGCTGTGTCTGCGGGAATTAATTGAGACCCCCCCTGGGTGAGTGAGCTCTTTGGACCTTCTAGAGCAAACCTTCCATTATTCTGCTTATGTAAGGAGTCCAGGGCTCTGATGTGTCCAGTGCACTCTCAGATGTTTAGTGTACTATTGAAAAAAAACAAAAAAGTTCCATAGGTTAGTAAATGGTTCGTTGATGGATAGAAAGAGCAATGTCAAAGAGAATCCATCTTTCACTAACAGAATTATACTTATCCTTAGGATATTTACCCTTTTAACAAATATAAACATGAAATCTTTAAGTATTTTTCGGTAAATTTCTCACTAAAAATAAAGGGCTTTTTCGTCTACTTTTCTGAAGCATGCCTCTGGTACCCTGTGCCTCCTAAGCAGTCACCTACTCATCTGATCAATTAAAAATGGCACTTGAAATGTCACAATATGCATTTTCTTTCTTTCCCATTCTCACTCTGGTCTTGCATGAAAGCAGTCATGGCCATGATATTTTTCACTGTGTCTTCAGTTCAGCAAACATTGATTGAAAGCCTTATACTCTCAGCATGTCCTGACTCTCACCAAAACACGGCAAGAAACACCCTGGCTCGTAGTGGATACAGACAGGCATAATGCTGAGCCTTGACTGTCGGAAGACTTCTGCTCTCTCCACCGGCTGCGACGGGATGTTTGCAGGGGCCCCTGGGAGATGCTCTGCTAATGAGTTCAGGCCGCCTCATCAATCCGGCGCTTTGACTATCTGCCCAATCTCTGTAAGTGCCTAACCTCATGCTTCCTCCTTCCTCCTACTAGGTGTCCTTCTGGGAGACATTGGATACGGGGATGAAACATTCTAATCCTAGGGCCTGCACTCTTGTCAATGTGTACAACCCAGGGGTCTGTTGCTTTGTTTATCTTTCCTACTTGTCTAGTGGGAGGTTTGGCTAAATGGGAAGATTGTGAGTCTTGGAAAAATATCTGAGTGGTTTGTTGTTGTTTTTAAAATTCCAGTCATTTATAATAGAGGGTTGAAAATGCTTTACTTGAAAATAAAATTTTGTGCTTTGAATATAGCAGTCTTCCCTCTCCAACAATAAAAGAGATCTGTCACAGTTTATTATGTTCTTTTAAAACTGAAATTGAGGGTGAGTTAGTGCCTGTTGCATACAATTTGAGGACAGCAGCCAGAGTAGGACATCCCTATGTTAAAGAAGGAAAGGCAGGATCCTGCTGCCCCTGGGCTGTGCCATTCTTCATTTTCTACAAACTGAACAAATTGAAGCCACAGGAATTTGAGGATAGAAATCTTATGGATGTTTTCTGATTTTTAATAATTAAAATTTCATTTCATTTGGGAATCTATGACAAACAAAACCCTAACCAAATCAGGTGATATTTTAATATGGATGCAATATGAAGAAAGCTGAAGCAAAGATCTCTTCACTTCAGGATGAATGCTCTAAAACCTGGTCATTTGTCCTGCTGGAGTTAGAAGGACTTGTGGGTCTGGTTCCCAGGCAATAATATCATAGATAATCAGAGTTAGATTGATTCCTGACCTTTGACGTGGCCACATCTCTCCCCTGAACAGAGGCCTTCAAAGGGGGCTTATTCATGGAGAAGGTTTTTGGTGAGGCAGGGGATGGGACGTTGGTTAAATAATTTCATTCTCAGTAGAGCTGTTCATCACAGCTAAGCTTCACAAGTGTGGAATGATGTCTGTGTTATATTTGAAGAGGGTCGGAGATTCAAAGGCTGTAAAACAGAGTATGGGGTATTTTATATCACTTCTCAAATCTGCACAAATTCAGATTTCTCTCTGACAAGCCCTTCCCATAAGAATGGGAAGTTCAAAAGTCCAGTGAGGTTCAGATTGACTGTTCAAGAATAAACATCCCGGTGAATGAAAAAGTCAAAAGCAACTGATATATATGCTAGTCCTAAGAATTAGAGACGGACCTTTGTCGTTTATGAGATATCATTTATCCAACAACTATAATGTACCTCCTTCCTTCTACCCATTTCCTCTTATCCCATATGATAGCTGATTATTATCATTATCTCTTTGCTAGCCTGAATTCCAGAATCTGCAATAAAGGTTTGAGAACTGAAAGAGCAAGACAATTTGTCATGCACTGGAATTTGCCTGATTCACAGAGACATTGAGTTAAACACATCATTGAAGTGCTTCTTTGTCTAACCCACAACTCTAAAATAAGGAACAGAGAAAGTTAGAACCATGGTATTTCTATTAAAACCAAAAAACTAAAAGTGTTCTATAGTTCAAAAGACTTCTTGAATAGATAGCCTATCACATCTATGCCAGGCAATAGCTATGGTTAAATAACCAGTTCTCACTGCTGTCTGTAGGGTAGTTTATTAACCACAGAAAGTGTAATCAGTTAACCTAACCAGGAAGTTGGTGTTGGGTATCATTCTTCTGCTGTATTGTAATCATTAAGAATTTTCAACAGCTCTGCAGACACTCAGTTCATGATAAGGTCCTTTCTCATAAGATAAGCATTCTTGAAAGTGGGATTGAGAGGAAATAAAAATGATTTAGAAGAACATTTCCACTGATATGACTTTCCATTAAGTCAAAGAGTTCTTCATTAAAAAATGAAAAGCAAAAAGAAAGAATAGGAAAAGAAAGAAACGACAGTAACAACAAAAATCAATCATGGTTGTGGGTTTCTAGCAGCAAACGAGAACAAATAAACCATTCATTCTGGAGACCTGGGTTGGAAGACAAGGCAGGTCACTGAGCAACTCGTTGGAGGGTGGGGAGGTGGGAGTGCGGGAAAGGGTCTAGATCATTAACGTCACTTAAAACTAGGAAATTCTATGACTTAAACATCTTAAATTAACTGGAGCTCCTTCATTTATTGAGGGTGCTTGTGGCTCAGCTTGGCTGAGGCAGGGCCATGTTTTCTTGAGGGCAATTGTTTAATGAGCTGAGCCAGAGCTGTGCATTGGATAATCAAAACTGCTGGACTCTAGTCTCATCTCTAGAAGCAGCAAATAACAAATAACATAAATCTTGGTGCCTCAGTGTGTCCAGTAACAAACCTTGAATCTCAGTACTTTATTTTGTTGGATTAATACCTGGTCTTACATTTTAATGCGGAATCAATAAAAAAGACAATAACTTTGAGCATTCTTAGAGGTCTAAAATATAGCTCTAGTGACATGTTTGATGATTCCATTATTATCTTTGATATACTATGACTTTGATCATTCATGCTTTTAAAGAAGTTACTTTTTGAAAAAACAAACTTTAGAATTTTATCAACAGAAAAATAGAAGCTTCTTTCGATGTATCTGTATTTATTTATTCTTTAAGGTGAGACTAGTGATTACTGCCCAGTCTTCTACTCTTAGTACTCTCTGATTTTACTGACTTTGCCTAAAGCCGGAGAAATCAAATACTTCCATGATTAGTCCTTTTGGAAAAGATTTTACCCTAAATTGGTTTTAAAATGGCTAGATCTAAGTGAGGTATTATACACAATGGCTTCCTTAACTGTAATTAGGAAAATTATATTCTATGGAGTAAAAAATACTTTGAAACCAGAATGCAATGAGAAAAAAGAGAGCCAAGAGTCATTTCATTCCCCCACATTGTTGGCCAAACAACAGAAAGGGAAAAGAACAGTTAGCAGAAGGAGTCTTTCTGACCTTGCGAGATGATTCTCTTGCTCCGGATGGTTTGGAAGTCGTGAGAGGCCAAAGACTCAAATCCCACAAAGTCTTGCTTCATGAGAAACCTTGTATCAGGAAATTTCATCTCACTTTGAGCTATATTTGAAGAGATGTTTTTCAAATTATTGGGATGAAATCTGAAGGAACATGACAATTCTTTATGGTTTAAGAATACAAATCTTTCCCCTTCGTTGTTTATTTCATCTTTCTTTTATTCCACTGGCATTACCTGAGGTTTCTTTCTCTCCAAAAATGTAGTAGAGAAAGGAGAAAAGATAAAAAGTAAATTGACTTATTTTTTGATGTTCAGATATTTTGAAACTATATTTTTTTCCCCAAAATGTTTTCAAGGTCAGGGGGCCAAACAACCCTGCATGAGCCCAAAGATTTAGAGCATCCAACAAATTAAACTCCTTCTTCAGCATGTCTATTAGAGTCTTTGAGTCTTTGATGTAATTTAAAGCAATTGTCCCCGTAGGGAGGTCTAACATTTTGCACAGTTACATTGAAATAGTTGACCCGCCTGAGGAAACTAGAAGAATTTCAAGGGTACATTTCAAGACCCTGTTTCTGTTGATAATAGTGTTCCAGAATTTATATTTACTAATATTGCCTTATTTTGGTCAGACTCCCGCAGGAAATCCTGAGGAGTGTACGTTTCTGGCATATTTTATCTTAGATAGCTCCATCCCTTTGGTTTTGCACCCTGACTGCTAGACTGAAGAGTACCTTTGAAAGCCTCTGCTCTTTAATAGAGCTGAGGATGACAACAAGCAGGAACTTCAACACTCTAGGAAGACAATCTATCTACTTTCTCCAGTTATCATTAAAATGTCTTTTAGACGTAGGTCATAACTGGAAACCTATAAATGATGTCCGTGTAGTAAGCACTTCCCACAGAGCTGGAGTCCCAAGTGATTAAAATTTATCACATTGTTCTTACGGTTACAAATACTGCTGATATGTGTCATTACTTAGAAAGTACTATTCATAACATTTTGATTTCAGTCCAAATAGTTTTTTTTTCTGAATTTCCCATAAAACGCTCTTGATCTTTTTCTTAAAAGGTCTCATTCACTTCTCCTTTGAAAGAACAAAGAAAAGGAGTTGATCATTCTCTAGTTTAAATTTTGTTTAGTGTGATATATTTATTGCCTGGTGGGTTGCATCTAATTCTCCACTGGCTTTTCTGAGAAAGTAATTAGGATAAACTTAATCCTTTGCAACATGCAGGCTCTAAGTTCTTTCATGAGTTAAAAGTTATATTGTTTAGTATGTAGCTCTATTAAAATGATATGTAACCACAAGACCTTATATTTGAACAGCACTTTGTTGTTCAAAAATGCATGCTTTGAATGTGCTAATTTGCTCTTCAATTAGACAACATAAGCCCTTAATATGGTAGGAGTCTCTTAGTACACAGGATAACAGGGCAGCCTCTGTTTTAGTCTCCTGGAAAGCTAAAGCTATGAAGTTCTTTCAATGACATTGTCTAAACCCCATGCATATTGCCATGCTCCTGTGAGTTTTTATCTTCAGTCAAACAGTTATTACAGAGTGTCCTCAGATATTCAGGTCTTACTGGGTATTTTATCTGGAAAGCAGTGGGTTGAACTGACTTGTATCAAGAAAGTGGGTTGAATTGACTTTCTGTCAAGAAAATAGGACTGTGAAGGCAGCCTGTCTCCTACTTTTCTGCCTACATGTTTATTTTCTGAACAACAATTTCAGATGACCCTGACTGGAAAAGTCTGGGTTTTTGTAACTGGTTTCTAAATTCCAGAACTAAGTGTACCTTGTGAAAATATTAAGATAGCAAGAAAGGAAAAACAGCAACATACTAATGGAATTTGATATCAAGAGGTTTTAACTAAGGAATACTCATATATCAAAACTCACCACAATTTTGACTCCTAGTTATGAAAAGCTCAACATATATTGCATCCTACCCATCTAACTGTCGAATTTGGCTCACAAATACACACACCATGGTACTATAATTTAACATACTACAGTACTTTACAAGGGATGCTATTTAAAGATATCTCCAAAATTTTACTTTATAGTTTTAGAAATGAATTAAAAAGAAAAGGCAATCTTTTTCATTTGGAATTCTGGAGTCAAGAGTACATGTGTTTGGAGGTTAAGTAGACAAATAGCCAGATCTAGGATTTTTTCCATTTTCAAAACAAAATGTACTAGTTCTTTCCATTGTTGACATAGTTGGCTCCATGTAGCTTGTGGAGCAAATCTCTTCTTGTATAATTATCTTGCAGTTGAGAGTCATTTTGTGGTGGGAAAAAAAAGCCAGCTGGTGGCTAGTGAAAATGAAATAAAGGAGGTGTTGATTGGAAGGAAAAAAGAATCATAGAATTGATTTTATTAATCTTATTAAAACAAACTCCAAGGGACTGACGAACTTATTTTGTCATGTGGGTATCTCATAATATCAAATATTCTTGGAAACAAATGAACTATTGTCTGGAGCTTGACAAGTTATTTGCTATCTAGAGATTTTTCCTTATATGTTAAAAGACTGGAAAGAGACAGTGGCACATAAGTGCAAGCAGCACAAAATTTCTGATTCTAAGGAAATTTTACTGTTAATGTACTTTAGGAATGGCTTTAGCAGGGTTTTATGTGTATTTTTTGCAAATCATTTTGCCTTTTTATAATGAGAATTACATTGAAAAGTCATGTAGGTAGGCAAGATGACCCAATAACCACAAAACAAGCTACAACTTCTAGATACCAGAGTATTAAAACTGAAATTTCCAGTCAATCAGCCATTGTTTTTTATCCCCAAATTAATTTTCTTAAAATTGACATATAAAATTATATGTATTTATTATGTACGACATGTTGTTTTGAAGTATATATACATTGTGGAATGGTCAAATCTACCCAATTAACAAATGCATTACCTCACATAGTTATTTTCACGGTGAGAGCAATGCAATACCTCATCATTAACTACAGTCACCATCTTCTACAGTAGGTCTCCTGAACCTACTCCTCCTATCTAACTGTAAATGTACATCCTTTGACCAACATTTTCCCAGCCCTCTCTCCCCAGTTGCTTTGTCTACATGATAACAAAGGTCAACTTGGTCTTTTTGCTTTTTGGTGTTTTATTATTTGTTTATTTGTTTGTTTGTTATTTATGTAATTTTTTGGGGGGGTGGCGGCTGGTACAGGGATCTGAACCCTTGACCTTGATGTTATTAACACCACACTCTGGCCAGCCCTGTTTTGTGTTTTTCAATGTCACTAAATTTCCTGAAATAACTAATTGTTTTAGAAGATATGCTTACCAGAAATATATGCAAATATCCTAAGCATCTTTCGAATCATAGAATAGCAGATCCAGAAGAGATCATTAAGTTCTAGATCTAAATCCAATATGTAAGTCATCTCTCTCCAACCTCTCCAACAGGTGAGAAATGCCCGTGTCCTAAGGTAGCCCATTCTATATACAAAGGAATGACTGTAAGTCAGTCCATCCTTATATGGAAACCTTTATCTATTGGTCCTCGTACGTATTCAACGTCAGAGAGAACATGCCTTTTCCCCTTTTTTCCTCCAAGTAAACTATCTTCTATTCCTGTAATTTTTCTTCTTTTGACATGGTTTTATAGCCTCTCATCAAGTACATTTTTTGTTTTTGAAAGCATGCTCTGAAAGTGTGGCATCAGGGTATGAACTCAGGATCAAAAATAAAACTTTTTCTTTTTCCACTGTGGAATGTCGATTGAGGTAATCCCATCTTCCTCAGCCTAACAAGTTTGCTATGAAATTGATCCTAAATCCAATTAGGCTGATAGCAGCCCCACCACTCTGTAGACTTATATGGAACTTGTTATTACTTAAAAGCTCTAGACCGGGCCGGCCCGGTGGCGCACTGGATAGTGCGCCGCTTGGGAAGCGCGGCGGCGCTCCCGCCCAAGGGTTCAGATCCCACATACAGACCGGTTCCCGCTCACTGGCTGAGCGAGGTGCGGGAGCAGCACTGAGGGTTGCAATCCCGTTGCCGGTCCCCGGTCCGGTACGGGGGCAACACTGAGGGTTGCAATCTGTTGCCAGACACGGAAAAAAGACAAAAGACAAAAAAATAAAATAAAAATAAAAATAAAATAAAAGCTCTAGACCATTCCTTTCCACCATTTTCAATGTGAATTATTTTTCCAGCTGGTTTTTCTGAACCCAGGTGAATAGCTATGTGTTTATTGTTTATTCCTATTAAAATTCATACTTTATGGGATTCAGCCATTTGTCCAGCCTGACAAGCTCATTTGGAGACTAATATTGTTCAGATTCAGTAGAATCCAGCTCATTTGACAAGATACCTGGCAAATCATTGAAAGCAACATTGGGAAGGCAACACACTCCAACATGCTATACTCTCCCTATCAAAGATATGTTTTTCTAACCCCTAAACCATTCTTGCTGATGTTTAAATCCTTTCCCAAGCAAAGCAAAATCTCAAATGGACCATGATTAAAAAATGAACTTACTCTTTATCAACTCACATTTTTTATTACTAATACAGCACTTTATTTTTAGTCAAGAATAGCATGCCTACCGAAGTAAAAATAATCCAGGAAAGCATAATGAATCAAAGTCATTCATTATAACCAACATGGGCTTTGATTATTTGTCTGGTCGTTACGTGTAAGTGTTGATGATGAAACTCAGATTGTGTTTACCACAATTAGATTTTTGTCTTTCTTTAACCTAATCTAAAATGAAGACAGGCTTAAGCAAAGGAAAGTGAAATACACTATTAAATAAAAATGAAACCAAGGCAAATTCTCCATGTCAATTAGGATTTTTATATCTAATGATTTTCAAAATACGCTTGCTATGCTATGGTTCCCATAGGATTCAATACTGTTCTTCTTTAGATACATACAATAAAATAATTACAATAAATAACATTATTGGTAAAGTGTAATGATTGCCATAATTTTCCCCAGAAGCACACACACACAATCATGAAAGTCTTTGTATTTAACTTAAAAATGTACAATCATCAAAATGCTTCAGTGGCCACATGTGTAGGAGTGATAGGTCTGCACATATTTATGAGCTGCCTTAAATCCTTTCTGGAGCAAGGAGAAAAGTAAACAAAAGACACAGTCACATATTTAATGAGGAAGGAGAGAAAAACCCAAATTGGTATGCAGTCACTGCTCTCACTAACCATTCTACTTTCTAAATGTTATATTGAAATGTTTAGATGCCTCCCTTCGGCCAATATCACAAATGTAGGAGATGTGCTTCGTCATCCAGTGTCAGATACATTGGACATCATTAAGCAAAAATACAGTAACAAAATATCTTTTTAAACAATCTATTACCCTTAAAAGTTTAAATAAATGTAAAAAATGCTACCTGCCATCCTCAGGGTAATTCCCAATTGTCCCCATGCAATGCCTTCCTCTGTGACTCTGGCAAGAATTCCATGCTCCTGAGTCAAAGCAAAATGTCTTTGGTTTAGTTTAGACAGGATTTGCACAGGGATAATACAATTCCATCTGTCTATTTGCCCCACTTAAAAATTAAACAGGAAACACTTATATACCATATATGTAATATAAATGTATCTGTTTTTTATCCTGCTGGTTTTATTTAACTTTCCCATCTCTAACCCAAGCATTTTTTCCTTTTCTCATACATTTCCTTTATGTCAAAAAGAATAGTCAAACATTAGGAGTTTATCTGAAAGTTTGTTGTAAGTCATTTTGTTATACAACTTTGAACAAAACAATTCTTCTCATTGAAGACAATACTCTGTTCACATTGCTTGTGTTTTTAACTGATTGGTGGCACAAATTATCCCAGCCATAGGATAAAAAGGTATCCATTGTGTAGGGTAATTCTGTTTTTAATCCTGTTTACCCAACACATAGCAAAGATGAGGTCCTGCAAGTGTAAGACTCAACCTAACTCTGTCACCATCCCTGCTGTGCTCCCAGCGTTATACCCTGACTCCAACAAGACCCAAATGCATAGCACAGCCAGATTAAGCAAATTAAATTACAGACGACCTGGTTAAATTTGATTTTCCAATAAACAACAAATAATGGGTTAGTATAAGTATGTTTTACATATCACACAGGATATTTGAAGGTACTTCAAAAAGTTAGTGGAAGGATGCATGTCAATTCTATCTTCCACAGAGTTTTTGAAGTACCCTCGTATGTACACACTAACCCATTATTTGTTGTTTCTCTGAAGTTTAACTGTGTGTTCTGTATTTCTTTTGGCAATCCTGCAAATACATCTTCCATGCCACTGTTTTGAGCCATTTTGTGCAGGCTTTTTCCCCCTCCATCTCAGATGACCTACTGTACCTTGTCAACAAGGGAGATTTCAGCTTAGTTGGCTTTTTCTCCTCCTCCATTAAATCTTGGCTGACCTGCTCCACCCCAACCTCTGAGGAGATGATCACTCCCTCCTTTGTGCTGTGAGTGGGCCTGGTAAATACTCCATGATCATCTGAGTCACAAGCTGTAGCTCACCCACTAGCATTCTGGATGTGAAGTCAGTGGGACACACCACACTGCACTCATCCGCATCCCCACTGCTAGGATCTAGTAGACACCTGAGGAGAACTTGTGGGTGGGGAAAAGAGCAGAGGGTGGAGCCAGATAATGCTGGACTTGAACTCTGGACACTGTGGACAACACATTTAGACCCTCAAGGCCTGAAGTTTCTTATCTACATTTTTTAGAAAATAAAACATCCCTGGCCAAGTGATTGTTAAAAATTAGATGAAATTCTTTATATACAGGGAACTTCTCACCAAGCACAGGATCACCAAAATAGTTACCTTCTAATCACGTGGTCCTTGTTAAACTAAAACATCCTTTCAGAGTTACATCTCTCTCTCTCTCTCTCTCTCTCTCTCTCTCTCTCTCTCTCTCTCTTAATAATATGCAGAGAAATTTAATTTCATTTTTAAAATTAAGTTTATTTTAAATTTTGTCTGATTATGACCTAAGGTACTTAATAAGAGAGTAACCTCAACTTTTAGTAAGATATTTTGTTTTTACCAATTTACTCCCAAATTCTGATTCAATTTCTTGTCTCTACATTTTCTTTTTTTTTTTTTAACAATCAAATGGCACTTTCAATCAGACCGTATAAAAAGAGCAAAACTCTGCTCCCAAAAGCTTGTAAAGGAAGAGTTTCTAAAAATTACTCTTGTCTTATATGTCTGACTCACATTTATCTAAGAATAAAAGGAAAACTAGGAGGAAAAATAAACGAACAGAGGATAACGTGTAGCCTCATGTCTCTGAGTCAGATAACAAGATAATTTTTCTGCATGCTCTATATTTCACTTTACTTTCCCAAATGACCTTTCTACCCCCTAACCCTATCACTAGGATATAAATCCATTAATGAGGAATCTTTTCTTCCCCTGTCCTTTTTCATATCAATCACAGCAGGACACTGGACTGTTCTTTGAGTTCATCCACTTTATAGCTATTAAAAAGAAAATATAGTCTGGAGACAGCCTGTCTCCAATTGGTTAAGCACAAGATGAGGAAATAAATTCCTGAGTTTCTAGCTTTCATCTGCCACTGATATTTCTATGTAAAACCCAGGGAAGTTTCCAGACCTCGTTTTTTTTAATCTGGGAAATGGATGAATTAGAAAAACAACAACAACGAGAAAATCTCTTTCACATGTCATTTTTTAGCAGAAAATAAAAAGCTCTTAAAATATTAGTGTTTTACAGTTAATGAATTTCAAAATGTGCTTGCCTGAGTTTGGCTTCCATACGACTTAATGTTATTGATCATTAGATGCTATGAAATAATAATAATAATATAATAATAATAATAATTATTATATTATTATTATTACAGTAATATTGGTAAAATGTAGTTCTGACCATAACTTTCTCCAGAAGTGCACACACTCTAGTATAACTCTCAAAGCTAAAGAAACTAATTACTGATAAAAACATGTGGGATACCTCAGAATAAATTGACAGGCATCATAAGAGATACACACAGATTGGGGACAATTCATTCCACCATTTACCTACTCATTCATCAAGTATTTAGTGAGCATATACTGTAAGCAAAGCTCTGTAACAGACTTTTTCTGAGTTCCGTCTCCATTCTCCTGACAACGGGACTGTACTAGTAAAATGTATAAAATGTGTAACTCAGGGGCTAATAGCTTAACATTCCTAAATTAATTATCTAAAAATTTTATTAATGCTAGAGTTCATTGAACTTTGCTGCCTCTCAGATAACATTTGCACTTTTATAGCAGGATGGCCTTCACCTAAAGATTCAAGTAGCTTTCAGTCGACACTGTGCATGCCCAGTTGATAGATAATGTATGTCAGGGACGTATCTTGAGTTTCCCAACAAGAGCAACAGCAATAACAATCACTGAGTAGAAGGTTTTCTGCTTGAGTCAGCACCCAAGAAGTCTTTCACGTACCCCAGAGACTATGTTATGTCCCTCGGCTATCCTTACCCAAAGCCTTCCTTTTACAACAGCTCAGTCCTCCCCCACTGAACTGTCAGAGCCACGAGTACAGGAACCACATCCATCTTGTTCACCCCATATTCTGAGGCTTAGCATAGCACCTGGTCTATAGTAAGTGTCAGTAAATGGTGAATGAACTTCAACAAAGCTTTCTCGATACATTATCACATTTGATCCACTCCTCCTACCCACCTTCATAAGATCAGATTTAGTTCCAAGACCCATGACTGCAGTGTGCCCAAACAGTCAAGGAACAGTAATCCCACTGCAGGTGTATTTCTCATTGTCCCCTTGCCGGGTAGGAGGATGAGAAATGTGGCATCTCAATCAAGCAGATCTTAAGGTGGGGGCAGGAAAACAGGGAGCAAGAAGGCAAAGTTCATATGGAAAAGAAAGATTCAAATGGGAAAGCCAAGTGATGGGGAATTCTTCCTAAAGGAGCAGTAGTGGAGAGTAAGCCAGCCCAGAACATTTCCAAAGGACCAATGATATTGCTTTCTCTGTAAAGTAAACTATCAGGTTGCCAAAGCTTCAAAGACCTTTCTGATCTTCAAACTGCCTGATATTAAATGAATCTGTTAAGGAGGAGGCTAAACCAAGTCACCCAGTTTCTGAAGAGTTCAAGTGCTGCTCTGGCTCCAATGTCCAGCAACAATATATATTGTTTATGCAACGGTGTAGTACGTCTCTACCTCTTCCAGTTGGATATCACATATGTAATCCTAATATAATGAAAAATTGAAAAGCTTCCCCAGAATGTCTACTTGATGACAGTGAGTTATAATTTGATGAACAATACTTTGAGATCCAAAGTCTAAGGTTCCCATGAGTATCATGTGTAATGAAATTTTAGAGGTGTTTCTAAACAGGATATGTGTGAATTTGGATATATATGTAGATTTTTTGTTTGTTTTGTCTTTTGCCTTTATTCCTTCTTTTTCGATTGAGTTGAATATCAATACCTGTGTGCATTATGAGATGCTCAAATCAGGATAATTTATATTCAACTTTATACAAGGAAGTCATTTTTTGTGTCCCTTTACTAATTCCTCCCTTACCCCCCTCCTCCTCCACTTTCCCATCTCTGGTGATCTCAATTGTGTTTCCTTTTAAAAGTTCAGCATATTATTTTGATTGTTGTATCTTTCTTTCTTTTTTTAAATTTATCTGTTTATTTTTTAGCTCCCACTTATGAGTGAAGACATGCGGTATCTCTCTTTCTGTTCCTGGCTTATTTCATTTAACTTGACTTTCTCTAAGTTCATTCATGTTGCTGTGAATGGCAGTATTTATTTTTTGTGGCAGACTAGTATTCCATTGTGCATATATATCACATTTTCCTTATCCAGTCATCCAACGATGGAAATTTACCTTGGTTCCAACTCTTGGCTACTGCAAATAGAGCTGCAATTAACATGGAGGTGCAAGTATCCCTTTGACATGATGATTTCCATTCCTTTGTGTGTATACCCAGCAGTGGAATTGCTGGGTTGTGTGGTAGTTTTATCCATAATTGTTTGAGGAACCTCCATACTGTCTTCCATAATGGCTGCCCCAACTCACAGTCCCACCAATAGTGTAGGAAGTTTCCCCTTTCTCTACATCTTCACCAGCATTTGTTATTCTCTGTCTTTTTGATAATAGCCAGTCTAACTGGACTGAGATGATATTTCAATGTGGTTTTGATTTGCTTAGTGATGCTGAGCATTTTTTCATGTGTCTGTTGGCCATTTGTACATCTTCCTTTGAGAAATGCCTATTCAGCTCCTTTGCCCATTTTTTAATTATTATTATTTTTTACTGTTAAATTGTTTGAGTTCCTTGCATATTCTGGATATTAATCATTTGTCAGATGTCTAGTTTGCAAATATTTTCTCCCACTCTGTAGGTTGTCTTTTTGCTCTGTTAATTGTTTCTTTCCCTGTGCAGAAGCTTTTAAAAGAAAAAGAGAAACAGAATTTATGTAGGAATATACAACTTTTGGTGCTTTCCTAAAAGTAACTTTTTCATGATGGCTGAAGAATTCGATCAGGGGAACCACATCTACTCATATACCCTGGAATGAGGTCATGTGCTGTCCCCAGGACGGTCTTACCAGCACACAGACTCAGGGGACACACATGAAGAGGAGAGGGAGAAACAGCAAGACCAGCCAATTCAACCCAGAGTATTAATAAATGTCACCGCACACCTAGGTAAATTTCTTTCAATGAAGGAAGGGAGTGATCTTGAGACAACAAAACCTTCCCATTAAGATGGCAACAGGACACCTTGAAGATCCAGCACAGCCAAGCTTGTGGCATGGAGAAACCTCTGAAGCCAGCCTGAATGACCAAGTCTGTGAGAAGTGGCATTTCTCCTATTGCACATGAGAATCACAAAAATAAGACCTCAATCCTAAAAGGGTGATCCCAATAAAAATCACAAAGGCACTCTAAAAGAGATGAAATATACTTTTACTACAGTGCTTAATCTTTTTGTAATAAGCATGGATCATCTTTATGAAAACATTAAAAACATTTCTAAAGATAAAAAAAGGAGAAGAGGAAGAGAGGGAGGGAGGGAGGGAAGGAAGGAAGGAAGGAAGGAAGGAAGGAAGGAAGGAAGGAAGGAAGG